TGAGGCTTATCGCTCTTTCCCGTTGCAACATCCTCGACAGTTTTCTTCCAGAATCTGGTATTTTCTGCAGCGTGGGAAAGGTGCACTCAAGAACCATGAGAGCCATTGACACCACCTACTAGTGTTAAAACATTGAGACAGGTTAATCACACTAATATTTAATCACTAAAATCAATTGGATATGTTCAAACCATCATGCTCAGATTACTCAGTGAATTTATATTTCACACCCGTCCATTCAGTGTAATGTTCTACTACTTCTGTAGCCGAAGCCATCGGGCCCTGTTTGATGGTGGAGACTAAAAATAAGACAGACAAGTTACTGTTCATAGAACAAGCAGCAACACAACTGTTTAATTATTCAAAATCATTACTTCTATAGCTCATGGTCTATTTAGATTTTAGAGACTTCATGTCTCTTCAACAATAGCCCCTAGATTTTTATTAAGTCTTTTTACAATCTTTTATTTCTTAAATGCATTGGGCAGTTGAAACATTTAACTACCAATTGCCCTCTTAATGCATAAAATCTGAACTCCTTGTAGCATGTCCTTTAACATCTCAGGGTCTATGATTTTCAACTGAAACTCTGTGCTTTACTACAAATAGCTTGTTATCACTTATGACACAGGCTCAGATAACAGCATTTAGCTGACTTTGAATGGGAGAGAGAACTCTGAGGGAATCAGGACTGGTAGCAATGCATTTTCATTTTAAACTTTTTAACAATTTAATTGTACTATCTTTTTACTCTAGCCCAGCTTAAAACTTTTTCAGAACATTTACATCAACTTGTATTTATCCATTCACTTACTTCTGGCCATTGCTTTGGAATTTCAACAATGGTTTTAAATCTGTCAGGGGTTACCTGACCCAGATATGTTACTTCGGGTCGTGCTAGCTGTGCTTTCTTCAAATTAACTTTGAAACCCCCGTTTATGTTGCTTGTTTACAACATTATCATCTCATATGCAAACAATCATTTTTCACTAGAAATTGGCATTTGGCTATGATGCTGGGTGGCTAAATTTTTGCAATCCGACAGTAAAATTACTCTTTTGCCCAAACATCATATAACAATAAAATTTTCCACATTTTCCACTCAGAACATGTCTCTGTTACTTTTACAGTTTAAACCAGAGTCATGGTGGGGAGATAAAAACGTCTTTTAATCAACCCAGAATTCTGTTCAGTATATTATTAGAGCTTGCAACAACTATACAGGGACTGGAACAGATTTATGATATCATTCTTTGTCATTCAAACCTTATATGCACAAAGAATCAGATGAAATCATCACTCAGTTACTTCTGGGATTTTTTATTTTAACAAATTAAAAATCAAAATAACTTTACATATCTGAAAATAGGCACAAACATTTAGAAATTTGTATCTTCCTGGTTCTTTCTTTGTTTGCAGCTAATCACGTTTTTGTTTTAACTTTCCAATCAGAGTCAAAGCACAGGCTGACCATTCTTTCAACAAATTCAGAGAATATCTTTAAGGTGAGAGCTTCAGAGCTGAGCTATTTACAGCATTTGCTCTCTTCTGTTTCATTATTTCTATCAGGACTAAGCAAGTTACCTAATTTGTCAGCCATATTCTATCACAAACCAAAAACCAAAAGAGATGATAGCAGCAAGAGATTGAGGCGGCGATCTTACCAACAGCACTTGGCTTCTGCGTGATGAAACTGCAAAGTATACTCCAGAATTTCCATATACTGGTCCAATCCAATTAGGTGTCATGAAAACAAAATTTTAGCTCTTTCGGGGTTGTGCCTGATGCATCCCAGATCAATCAATCCTTGCCGTAACATATATATGGATATGAGTATTTTTGGTTACTCTTTTCCCTAACCAACTGACCTGACCTGATCGCTAAACTCGGGGCACCCCTGTCTGAGACGGAAGGAATAGAGAGTTGGTTGAGCGATTTACGACTAGAACCCCCCTTCTAGCATCTTACATTCTCTAGGTATTTTATATACCTTAACACAGACTGCACTATCTGGCCTCTACGGCTCTCAGTGCCACAGAATGCACTATCAGGCCTCTACGGATCTCAGTGCCACACACATAGAGAATGCGTTTTGTCTGAGTGAGTATCGCTCTCCCTTCTCTCACACTCCCTCCGCCACAGACAGTCCCTAACCAAGGGATTATTTTTCCAAAATTTTTCTTTCCTACCTTTCTTTCGTTGATTGATCAGGGATGTCACCGAAGAACGATTGCCAGCGCATCCTCCACCATTAACTATAGGGGAATTTACAGTTAAAACCCAAGGACCAGATATGATGAATGAAGATCAGGAGTCCGAGATGCGATCAATTAAAGAAAATTTTACTGAAGAAAATAGTTTGCAGTTTCGTCAGCAGAAGCCATCTTCAATACTCGCAATGGAGTTCGTAGGCCGCTCTGCATACATGTCAAAAACACCAATAATTATACTCTAACAGAGGTCACTAATTATGTCAATACATATCTCTTAAAGGGTTAGTTCACCGCAAAATGAAAATTATGCTGTGTTTTACTCACCCCCGAAGCATCCTAGGTGTATATGACTTTCTTCTTTCAGACGAATCCAGTCGGAGTTATATAAAAAATTGTCTTTGATCTTTCAAGCTCTATCGTTGTACTCAGCGGGTGTTGCATTGCTTCTGTTCAAAAGACGTGAAATAAAAAGCACCCTTCCACAAAAAAAAGTGTCTCACACGGCTCCGGGGGGTGAACAAAGGCCTCCTGTAGCGAATCGATGCGTTTTTGTAAGAAAAATATCCATATTCAAAACGTAATAATCACTTTAATGTAGCTTGCGCCAACAGTCCTACACGGAAGCAGCTCCGGGGGGATGACGTATGAGGTCAGCGCTGCACATGCGCCGGTGCTTCTCGTGAAAACCAACGTTTATTTACAGGATTGTAGGATTTCTATCCTCCTTACTTTAGCAAAGGAAAACTCACGTCCTCGGGCCTGCAAGCACGGGATATACAGCGTGACGCCACATGACTTTTTGACCATCTGCTTCCTGCATGACGGAAACCCTTACAAACTCCTTTTGTCACAGACAAAGAAACGAAACGTACACAGACAATCATTGAAAATCATTGAAAAGTATCGGGGCAATATATTCACAAATAATATGTTGTATGTCTTATATATATGCTTGATGTGTTTCATGTAATCGGTGCAACTTTAATCAGTGTTTATTACCCTTTTTAGGAAATAAGGTTATTAAAATGTGTGTAATATGTGAAGTTTAATCTTGAACGAATGGGCACGACAAATGCAGAACATTGAAATGAGTGAAAAGCTGTTATTTTGAACGGTGTGTGTTGTACGACACTTTATAGAAGTTATAAACAAAACCTGAAAAGACATTTCCCCACGTGATGAATTGAACAGCATTTTAATTTATGTACGAGAAGGGAACCACACAGGGCGTGGCTAAGCCCCACAGCCACCATCGGATTGGACAAACGCGTATGGGATGGACCAGCATCGAGCCTGCTTAAAAGGAATACAAAGCTCTCTCGGACTGGCTCGCTTTCCTCGCTCAAGACCTCTGGCTTTTATTTTGATAACAGCGCGACAAAAGCGCTCCCATGCCGTAACATCGCACAGCGAGACTCCAGAACTCAAACACTTCAGCTGAAGCTTCGTAACTCCGCAGAACGCAAAGCCTTGCTAAAGCAGTCTCTTTCTCAGAAGAACCCGAGGCTCCGCTGTAACCCGGCAACCAACCACTCCGAGAGGGCTTCCCCAAAAGGACGTCATCCAAACGTCATCTCAGCGACCAATCCGAAAGCTCCGGGGTTCCCTCAGCAGCCATCCAGGAAGCCTGTGTCAGCAACAAAACAACTCAGCTTTTCAGCTGTCAACCAAAGCAAAATGCAAGTAAACGAACAAAATCTTATCTCTGCTGAAATGGTGTCGAGCTAAATTTTAAGCAGTAAACATAAGCCAAATCTCTGCTTGTGATTTTCTCAGGATGCCAGTAAGAGAACTGTAGCGAATATCTTATGTGTGTTTTAGCTTAGTTTTGATGTAATCTAGAATAGCCAATAAAATTAATGTTTCATTTATAAAGGATCCTTGTCTGGTGTCATATAACTTTAAAGTTAAAACCTTTGCCAAAGATTACGTTACCTCGCTAAGAGCTTACAAATGATCATAATTGTATTACCCGTGGCCAGGGAAATAGCTGAGTACAACGATAGAGCTTGAAAGATCAAAGACAATTTTTAATATAACTCCGACTGGATTCGTCTGAAAGAAGAAAGTCATATACACCTAGGATGCTTCGGGGGTGAGTAAAACAGCATAATTTTCATTTTGCGGTGAACTAACCCTTTAAGTGATTATTTAGGCTAGAGATCAGGACTCAGACAAAACGGGTATCTCAGTCCAGAGACCTATTCCGGATCAGGGGGGGCATCCGATGACGAGCTTCTCCACTTACTCAGGAAAAGATGCCGACACACACAGAGAAAACTTATCTTCTGTTCAAGGTGGCCTGGCTCTGGCGAGAATCTTATCAGCATTCAGCATGGTTCATTACACACACACACACACACACACACACACACTATGCCTGTCTCTTTTTAGAGAGTAAAAATACAGAATAACGCAGGATTATTTCATATTTATTATGCAACTACCAGATAAATTGCTCAATAAGCAAGTTGCAAGCAATATCATGTGACTGGGACAACAGTGACATAAATGTCACAGTTGTCCCAATCACTGTCGCTCACGTACATGGGAGGTCGCCCTGACCTAATCATGGCACTGTGACCCTAGGAACAGAATAGACTTCAGCATGGAACTAAGTCAATCATCAAATAATCTAGGAGTTTAAATACTGATCAGTAACTTGATTAATAAACACATAAGAAATAATGAAATAATATTATTATGAAGGATATGGTAGATCGGCATCCACTCCTTCACCCTCATAAGATTAACCATTTAAACACTGTTGCTTTTTGTTGTCTGTAGGATAAAGAAGTGTAAGAATTACTATGAGGTACTGGGTATCAGAAAAGATGCCAACGATGAGGAACTGAAAAAGGCCTACAGAAAACTCGCTTTGAAATTCCACCCTGACAAAAACCATGCGCCAGGAGCAACTGAGGCTTTTAAAAGTAAAGCCGCCCTGAAACACCATATCCAATACATTGATGTACATAAAATATAAAACAATAAATGCTGTTTTTGTTCTTCTCCAGAGATTGGAAATGCTTATGCAGTGCTCAGTAACCCAGACAAGAAGAGGCAGTATGATGTCAGTGGAGCAGAGGATCACAGCAGCCCAAGTTACAACGCTCATGGAGGATTTGATTTCCACAGAGGTTTTGAGTCTGATATTACACCTGAAGAACTCTTTAACATGTTCTTTGGAGGAGGCTTCCCCTCATGTAAGCCCTTTTGTATAGATCATAAGCAGATACTCACACATTGCACATATATATTTTCTCCACATAGATGGAGAAATCTGCACAACATTCACTTGTATAAATTCTGGTTGGTAGGAGGAACTGTATAGGGTTTAAAGAGGGCTGGGTGTTATAAATTGGTGCACTGCACACAATAAAACTGTAGAAATTTGACAACCTGTATAAATTTTGGATTATTACCTCAACCATGGTTACACATATGTGATGTTGCAGTAATGCATTGTCACAAAGGCTTATTTGCATTTGTTTTAAGCCTTGCCTCAAGCCTAAAGGGGTCATATGATGCGATTTCAATTTTTCCTTTGGAGTGTTACAAGCTCTTGGTGCATAAAGAAGATTTGTAAAGTTGCAAAGACTAAAGTCTCAAATCCAAAGAGATATTCTTTATAAAAGTTAAGAGTCAACCACGCCTACCTAAAACGGCTCGTTCTAACACGCCCCCACATGTCTACGTTACGATGTGGGAAGATTTGCATAACACCACCCAAATATTCACGCAAAGAAAGAAGGTGTAACTTTTATTCTCCCTGTAGTATTGTTGCCGCCGCCGCCATGCCGTGGAGACACTGTGTTTTGTTGTGAAAGCGAAACTACTTTGTTTGGTCTTCCAAAAGAGGACGATATCCGCTTCGTCATGCCT